AAGAAAAAAGAAAAGGAAAAAAAGAAGGTAATTTCTCCCTTCTTCCTAGCAAGTACAGATAATTTTAACAACTTATCTCCATCTCTTAAAGTACATAAAGCCTCTCTTCATCCCGTACCTACCCCATTCTCTGTAAACAGATCTTTAAAGCCTTATCACTCCATCCTAATCAGCAAAAGTCCATTAAGGGTTATCAGAAATAACATGTCTATTATGAACTAAATCTAATAAACCCACTTAAAATCCTTCCTTTTATGTTTATATCTCATTTTCTATCTTTAAGGAAAGCCCCCAAACCTCATCATTTAAACCTATTCATCAAAAATCGAATTGTGGTCCTAGTCTGCAAAAATCCATTAAAAATTACCAGAGATAACAACCCATCTATTTTAACCTTGATCAAATAAATCAACTTTATATTCTTTCCCCTTTCTCCCAACAGTCTTTAGTTCCTTCACATATTATTCTAACATCCACTTTCTTTTCATGTTCTCTTTGTCTCCTCACAAAATCATTGACAACTTTAAGAAGTTTCTTTTGTAAGTCCAATATAAAAAGATTATGCACATTACTCTTCTGGTTTAGTATTTGTATGTCTTTTTTAGTGGTTTCATTCTTACATCCAGTATTTCATCTTTTTGTGTATCCAATATTTCATCTTTTTTCATCTTATAGCTTATAATTTTTAAATCCACATTTATCAATTTCAGTCTTTTCTGATGAATTTTGTTCCTCTTCCATGACATCATCTAGGCTATAATAGCAGGTAAATTTAAAATTAATTTCTGAGTCCAAGATTTGTAAATCTCTCTCAATGGAGCCATTGCTGCAGTTATTTTCTTCTGGTGCTCTCTAGTGTCCAACCTTCAAAGTCATTTATCTTCCAAATGTAAAAACATAGTTTCCCACGGAAAAATTCTTATAGTTAATTTCAAAGTCTTAATTCAACTCCATCTGGACCTTTAATCTTTCTAAAACTTTCTAAAATCAATACTCTAATCACCCTTTTGCTGTATATTTCGAAGTTTATTTTTACAAATCCTTAAACTCATAGTTAAAACTTCTTCCTTAAGGGATTGAAGAAAACTCACCTAGTGAATCCAATAAAACTTGCTGTTCCGAAGGTTCTCAATGTTTAAACAGCGGAAAAAAAAAAAAAAATTAAATCCAAAGTGATTAAGAGATGAGGCTCAGTCGAAATTCGAGTCCGTATATGCTACGTTAATGGCCATGAGCTTGATGGAATCCCGTGACTCCCAGCCATTCCCAAGCCAATCATAAAAACCTTGGTTCTTGTCATCTGCTCACGAAAAAGAGCTGTCCAGAGTTCATATGGGCAATCTCAAGATCTCTCCTTTCTCCAGAGAGATTTCAGCAGTCCGGATCCAGCATCCAGACTCTGTCTCCATCCATAATATTGTCCTTCTCTTCCAGGGACATCAGTTCGCCATGGCACTCACCGGAGGTCTCGTTTACTGCTGTACAAATGGGAAAAAAAAATTCTAGCTGGTTCAGATTACTAATATCATCTTCTGTTTTTATGCAGGACAAGGAAAATTAAGCTATGTTGATTGATTCCCTGTGATTTTTCCCCTCAGTAGCAACTGTCAAATTTGAAAGCTGGAATTCTGCCTTGTAGTTGAATTCCCACATATAAGTAAAAATTAGAACAATTCTTAAACTTAAAGAAAAAATAGAAACTGAAAAAAAAATTAAAAAACCAAATAGACTACGTGTTTGGGTGTTTTGTCTACTTTTTGTATTTTTTCTAAATGTAAATAAAAAAAATTAAAAGAATAATTGTGTAAAACTAATTAATTGGAAAAGTCCCCACAAGAAGGGCAGTTTATATTCTGCCTTTATTTTGTACATCTCAGGGCTGTATACATCATGCTCCCACCTCCTGTTTTGCCCCAAATAACAACCCTGTGAGGTGGGTTGGGCTAAGAGAGTGCCTGGCCCAAAGTCACCTTCCAGTTTCTGTGCCTAAGGAAAGACTGGAACTCAACGTCTCCCGCTTTCTTGGTTAAGTCCAGCATCTTAACCAAGCAAACTCAGCCTTGTGAATCAGGCAGAGATTGGCCGAATGCAGTTAGGCAATGTTAATTGTTATTGAGAAAAGTTATCCTCAATGGGACTTAAGTGCAATTTATAGATTTAAATTCATAAGTCAAGTACTGTAAGTCTTGCATTTAACCCAAGGTTTATGTAGTCTCTTGCAGAACCTTTCAAAAGGTTCTTTTAACAGCAAAATTATGAAGCAGTTTCAGTGCACACAGACCAATTCAACCATAACTTCAACTAGGAAGTTGTTGAAATTGTAAATCAGGCCACATCAAAGAATGCACCCAAATTCCTAGAATTCTGGCACTTTGGCACTCTGACAAATTAGCATCAATAGACAGGTTAGATGCCATTTCTGGACCATTCAAAAGAAATAACGAGAGGTTAACAACAACACAGACCACAACAATTGCCTCTTTTATTACACAACTATTATCAGTAGTTACCCAGATAAGCAAGAGATTATCAGCAAGAACGTAACAAGAACCAGACATCATGGCAATCAATAACAATAACAATACCTAACAGTGCAGCCCACCCAATCATATATAATATTGGTAAGAGAGGCAACTATATATACCACAACTAACCAACAAGCCTCCCTTCCCTAAGATGATAACATTGGAGATGTTACCTAATTGCATAATGAAACATCTGCAAATGAAAAACGAAGCCCAGGTAATCCCTACAACCCCACACTCCCCCCCGAGCTACATAAACATTCTTCCATCACAAGTAATAATTCAGTATTTGCATTTCTCTGCATACTTCTGTTTATGGGGTCACTGACTTCAATAGACAGACAGACAGAAGGGGGGAAAAGTTGCATTCACCGAATGCAACGAGAAGAAAAGTGGGGAGGGGGCAAGGGCAACCCAAACATTCTGCCTTAAAATGTTAAGACTCTGTCAAAGTCAAAATAATCCATACTTCATCTTGAACGCAGTGGTGCCATTTTCCTCCAACGATCCTGTCCCCAGATCAGGCAATCATCCAGGCTGACTCAGAGTGTGAACTCGCTCTGCTGGATTTTGAAGATGGAAAGGGTAGAAAAAGTGCCGGGAAAAAATGGAAGCCTACAGCCTCCAAGTTGCAGTGGCCCAGCAAGGCTCTGCAACAGGAAGAAGGGGAGATCGGATTGGGAGTGCTTTGCCCATTTGCATTTTGGTAAAATGTTTTCCTTTTGTTTTTGTTTTGCCCTGACTATATTGGAGGAAAATACTACTTTCAAAATGTGATCCTTTCTTCCACAGGACTGACGGCCACTGAACTGTCTAGAGCAAGTTGTCTTAACAAAATATTCACTAGTAAACTGCGTGTAAACTAGTAAATTAGTATCTATTGCATTACAGATCAATTATAATCAACTGTGTGAAACTGCTATCACTTTACTACTCTCAGATATATTGAGATTTTAGTTATTGTCTCAATTACATTTAAAATATTATTTGAAAACCAGAAGATCCCATATCTACTTTGTGTATAAAGTTTGTCTTCGTTAATTTTTTGTCTAATGGGACAGGACTTTGGTGAACATTTCCAGTTGGGGTTTTTCTGGCACACACATGCAGAGAGGCATTTACCTCCAGGCTTTCAGCCAAAATACAATATTGAAACTGCCTTGGTAGGTGACATAGGCTGAATATTGAATGGGGAAGTAGAGTTCTAGTAATTATTTTAGATCTCAGCAGCTTTTTTACCCATGATCTCTGTGTTATTCTGGACTACTTGGTGGGAATAAGCCCTGAGGACACTTTGCAGTGATTCCAGTCTTTCCTCTTCAGGTTGTGACAGACCATATATCCAGAAGGGACTGCTGCTTGATCCCATGCATAGACCTATCATGTTCCACAGGGTTCTAACTTATTCCCCACGCTGTTCAAAATCTGTATGAAATCACTGGCGGAGGGGGGCGGGGTTCACCCAGAGTTTTGGACTAGGAAAAACAGCACTGTTTCGAGCTCAAAACTCTGCTGAATGTTAGCATGTTATCAGTAAGAACTAGCTGCATTCATGTATTTCAGAATAAAAAGGGAAAAAATTACTTGGTTCAGCATCTTTTAATTGGGTATAGACAAAGATTATTTGAACAAAGAGTCTTGATAGGGCAGAATAGCAAAGCCCTCCTTGTGAGGGCTAGCTGAGAGAGAAAATTCCTTTTGTGTTACAGTACGTACATGTCCGAGAACAGCAACAGATTCTTTTTTCTTCCTCGTGGAATTAACTTCTTCACTCACAGAGTAGTTGGGACCCAACCACTATCACCATTACAGCACTGGAATGATCCAAACAGGAAGGTCAAAACAACCTGTTTCTGACCTCAGAATAACTGTTTTGGCTATGAAACGGACTACAGTACTTTGATTTTGAAGTACTTCTAATTCTAAGGTTTGCACAAACCTATTCCTTCCAATCCAACTCCAAGGACGCCACAAGCATCCTTGAGGTTGCCTGAGTTCAATAATGGTTCAATAACTTCAACAACAGCAACAACAACAACAACAACAACGAGAGCCAGTTTGGCCTAGTGGTGAAGGCACCGGCCTAGAAAGCAGGAGACGGCAAGTTCTAGTCCCGCCTTAGGCAGGAAAGCCGGCTGGGTGACTTTGGGCCGGTCGCTCTCCCTCAGCCCAGCTCACCTCACAGGGTTGTCGTTGTGGGGAAAATAGGAGGAGG